TTAATAATAATTTAAAGAAATGGTCCTAGGCAGTCAAAAATGGAAGGTTAGCTTGATATTCACAAAACAAAAACAAATTGAGTATGAACTCAATTTTGAAATTTGTTTAAAAAAATTGAAAATGGTAAAAGTTCACTGTCAGAAACAAAGAAAATAACGAAAGATTATATAAATATTAAAATTATTTGAATTTGAGTTGATTTTGTAAAGCAAAAATTTCCATGGAATTGCTGTGAGGAATTGAAAATAAGCATAGATTAGATATTTCGGAAAGGATAAACCTTTCAAGAGTTGTTGAATATGGATCAAATGAAATACGTATTCCACTCTAAAAAATTAATTTTATTTGGTAAAGAAAGTAAATAAATTATACTTGTTCAAATGATCTTTTAGAGTAAATTGATCCAAGATAACTTAATCATGAATCTCTTTTCAAGAAGCAAAAGCAAAAATGAAAACTCTATCAAACAAACCCTAAGGTAGCTTCTTTATGAAACTTTTTTACTAGAAAGTAGAAGTAGAAATAGAAGCAAAAGCAAAATCAAAAATCCTACTGACTATTGGTAGAAATGGGAACTGCCACTCTCGAACTAGTGCGCTTACCGATGGCTAGCTTTCATCATTATTTACCAGATTTTATTTCTTAACCTTAAGAGGAAAAATGCTAATTTTAGAATAAGTTGTTTAAATCATTTTATGGATATGAGTGATCTATATCAATAAAATATTCATTTGAAAATCATCTCTATGTTACACGATTTAGTCCATAAACGTGGAAACGAAACAAAGTTCGTTCCCTCTCATTAAGTAGGTAATGTAGACATAAAACCTACCTTACCTTAGACTCTTCCTCATGAAACGCTCCTATAAGAAGTAGAAACAAAAGCAAATATCTTGCCAAATTGCCCTAAGCCTCTTGAAAATGAAATTTTCTTAATCCCCAAAAAAATTATTTAATTATTGAAAATTTTCATTTTAATATCTAATTATAAGAATAGTGCTGCAAAGCGTAACGGGTTTCTTATCAACCTTTCAATCTTTAGTATATGTATCATATCTAGCCCATAAAATATATTGCTAAACAATTATTAACTTCAACTTGAATTTTAATGAAGGTTTCTAGTGGAACCAAACAGGGCTATACATATCTCGACATTAAGAAATACCAGGTTCGTGGCTGTAAACATTTAAGAACATATTTACCTAGTTGTAATCCTACAAAACAAGAGAATAAAGCCATTTTTACCTCCTAGTTGATGTCCACGATGTGTAAAACTATTGATTTGAATGAGTGTTATTTAAATAAATGGTAGCAAAACTGCACACACAAATGTCTGTAAAAGCATTTAAGAGAAAGTTAAAGCAATAAGTGATCCATTAATCATATAATCGACAATTTCATCGAACTTAATTTATTATTTTTACACCAGGTGGTAAAAAAAGTAAAAATTTAGCGTGTTTGAGTGTGACTGTGAGAGATATGGACGTGGAGGGGAAGGAAGGGGAGAGAGACTAACCGCTAGAGGCTATGCCGGAGGTAGCCACCACACATGTCTGGATAACGGTATTTTCTTGGCGAGTAAATGGTTGCTTCAAAAGTCCCGACTTCTCGAGAAACTTCGTCCAAGTTATGACGAATAAGAATCCCAATAGGCCGGCAGAAACATTGAGAGAAGGGATAATACCAGTGGTGAGATTGAGTTTCATTACGATGAAAGTAAAGAGAATGCCCAAAACAAAGCTGACAAAAAATGCCCTGAAAGTCAGTTGTTTCTTCCATGACGGCACCTCTTTGCTCTCGAATATTTTCTCTATTGATTCAGCGCTCTCTTCTTCTTTCTTATCAGTTTTATCATCCACCTTTTTGTACTGAAAATCTTGTTCGGAAATACCATTTTCAGAAGGAGCATTCGGATCTCTTCTGTTCTCAGAGTTATCCATGGCTAGGGAGATTGTAGAATTCTATGTGAATGAATTTGGTTAGTCTTTTATTAAGTTTTGGAAGTTTAAAGATTGATGTTGAATGTTGACCTATGATTCAATATAGCTTCACTTGTTTTGATTATAACAAACAATATACTAGTTGAATTTAAGAGAGAAAATAACACAATACAAAGATAATAGAATTATATTGAATAGTGTGATTTACAAGAGAGACATCATATCTAGTTTAACTTGAGAGGAATGTTTTCTTTCTAACCAATGTGGGACTTATAACATGTAC